ACGCAGTTCTGTTTATTAACCGCTAGAGCGCCAAAAGTTACGGACCGCAGCTTTAAGCAAACATGAGAATTGTTTATTTTTTATGTTAAGCAATAAGGTTTGAGAGGCCATGCTGTATACGAATATATTTCACTATATTGTGAAACATAGAGTGGCCTCGAGTGCATTCAGGAGTCAGTATTTACACTATCTGTTGTTCAATCTAAAATATGTATGTTAGATCAGCTCAAAAGCTGTCCCTGAGATTCATATAATCTCTCAATACATAAGTGAATATCCTTCTCCAAACTTCACACGGATTCTTAATGAAAACACACTTGCATGCCGTCTGTTCTCACTTCACCGCCAGCTGACTTGGATTTTCTCGATTCCTGGGGATTTTCACTCTCACCAGCATGTGTTCTGAAGTCTATGAGCTGCCACTGATGCTTTTCATGTGTCACTTTTGCTTTGTTCTCTATGTATGGAAAATACTACAAATGCAGTTTTTTTGCTGCTGAGACTGTATTCAGTTGGGCTGCATCAGTGCTGCGTCATATTTAATGCTCTATTTACTAGATGTACCAGGTTTGGTTTAGTAAGCATGAAGACAGATATACTGACATGATTTTTCTCTGTTCTAACCAGCGGTGAGGCAGCTGAAGGAAGCTGTGGACTCATCCATTAACAAGCTGTCCAACTTTGACGGTAAGAGCACAGATTGTGTGTTTTTAATCGACACTAAGAGCATTTTCACACTTCGGATTTCGGTGTGGTTCATTTAAGGTGAACCACTCAAGAAATGGAGAAGAGACCTGACATGTTTTCCTGATTTATTCCACAGAAGTCATTGATGCACATCTTCAGAATAACCAGACGACAGTGGACAACAGCTTGGCCAGTCCAGACAGGCTTAAAGGTACCGTCACATTTCTGTCACTTTCATCTAAGTTTCATCAAGTCTGTTTCTTTCTAAATTAAGCTAGGTTACAGAGAGAGCCATCACATTACCATATGATGCAATCTGATAGCAATGAAGGCACATAGTTTCACCCCTGGCCTCTATTTAAAACCAAATTAAACAACTGCAGTCTCTGGGTGGCAGGAATGAGCATTATGGTTATTTTTAGCATCCTCAAAGAGCATGATCAGGTCAGGGTCATTATTGTAATGAGCTCTAATAAGATCATAATCGTTAGTGAAGTTTTAGCTATCTGTTTATTATTATTATTATTATTATTATGATTAAAATAATAATAGTAGGTATACTACTTGTTGTAAGTTTCATTTACATTTAAAATAGTTTAAATTTATTTAGCCTAATGATAACGGGTACAAAAAAAACAACATGTTTACGTATTAAAATGTTTAAATCAATTGAGCCTAATAAAAATAATAGATATAAACCAAACCATTTGTTGTAACCTTTTCATTTGTGCTTTAAAATGTTCAAAATCATCCAGCTTCATCATCATCATAATCGGTTATAAAAAAACAAATAAGCTACTTGTTCTAACATTTTTGTGTACATTGACATTTTTTAATCTATTCTGCCTAATGATAATAATAATAGGATTAAAACAAACTATTTGTTGCAACTTTTTTGCTTACATTTTAAAATCTTTAAATCTATTCTGCCTAATAATAATAATAATAATAATAATAATGGGTTTAAAACAAACTATTTGTTCTAAATTTTTTGTTTACGTTTAACAATGTTTAAATACATTCAGCCTATTAATAATGATATTAATAGATAAAAATAACAAAAGCAATTTGTTTTTTCATTTACATTTTAAAATGGTTGAATCTATTCTACATAATAATTGGTAAAAAATAAAATAACCTGTTTGTTGTAACTTTTTCATTTACATTTTGAAATGTTTACATCATTCAGCCTGATGATGATGATGATAAATTTAATACAAACTGTTTTTGTAAGCTTTTTTGTTTACAATTTAAAATCTTTTAAGAATTCTCATTCTGCCTAACAACAACAATAATAATAATAATGATAGGTTTAAAACATACTATGTTATAACTTTTTCGTTTATACTTTAAAAAATTGTAATCCAATAATCAGTGAAAAAAAAAGAGTAAATTCACTGTGTACCAGGTAATAACCTCATGAAAGCTCCTCTGTGTGATGAGGTGGCGTTTAGACCCCTCAGTCCCTTCAGATTAGAGTCTGAGATCACGGCCACACAGATTAGACCATAATTCACTGGTCAACCATTACCTATGATGACATGATTTCGTTATTCCCCCTTCAGTCCCGTTGAGTCACTGGCCGTTCGCTACACTGTGCTTATTCATGGAACACGGAGTTCAGAAGATCTATCATGTGATGTAACAGCAGGAAGAGTGGTTTTTCAGGTCATTTATTGACTTAAATGTGCAATGTTTGGCCTGATGTCTGCAAGTAATGGAAATATCTAGACAGCATTGACTGATAGTGATTTTCTGATTGACATTTACAGCTTTCATTGAAAAGATACTGAAAATTTGAGGTGCAGTTCAGTCATATCGGATGATGCATTAGTGGTGGCATGCCAGGAGTTTCTTTAGACCGCTGTCACCTCCTCCTCTTCAAACCCCATTTATAACTCTTTTTAGTCCACATGGATACTACAGCAGCGCAAAACTAAATCTGCAACTAGTTTAGCATGTGACTGTATGTCCCTTTGGAAGCCCAGGTCACTCAGATGACCATGTGTGGGCAATAACTACCACCAGCCAGAGAGGATGAACTACAGGGGGCTCATTCACTGCCTGCTATTGTTGATCAAAATAATCGTGGCTAATATATTAACAGCCAACAAACACACACCTGTTTAGACATGCAGAGTGAGCCTGGTAAAGGTTGTGATCGCTATATAAGTGTGGTTGTTTTAATGTTGTTTTGAGTAATGATTGTGTCCCCCCTCTCATCTAAGTGGTCTCTTCCGCTCTGCCTCCATAGAAAACCAAATAGACGCTAAAGAGAGCGATATGTCAGATACCCTGAGCCCCAGCAAGGACAAAAGCAGTGACGACACATCAGGTGCGTGAAACATGGACACATTTGTATGTATGAATTGCTGCATTTTGGTTCCTACAGCTTTCATTTATACATCCCACTTTTTTTCCCAAAAATAATAAATACATATGAAAACCTTAACTTTATATTTTATCTTATATGTAAATTACAACTTGTGATGTAAACTTGGTCTGATTTATTTTTCAAACTTTATTTTTGTCTTTTGTTCGTTTTTTTTTCATTCTGCCTTTCATTTATTGTATTTTTTAATGTTTTATCTTTCTTTCTTTCTTTTATTCTTCCTTTGTTTTTGTTTTTGTTCTTTTCCTTTTATTTGTTTTCTTTCTTTTTCTTCATTTTTTTAAATTTTTTGTTCTTTCTTTTTTTCTGTCCTTCATTTTTTCCCCTTTCATTTTTTCATGTTTTGTTCTTTCTCTCTTTCCAGATGGACAGATGGATGAACAAGAACTGAACGAGCCCCAGAACAGGGTTTCTCTTCTGAAAGGTAATCCCTCCATTCTTTTGTGTGAAACTTTTCTTTTCAGCTTCTCTGTCTGAAATGCCAGTGCTGGTGTGTTTGTGTGATTTGGCTGGCCTGAACAGTTAGTCACCCTCTTTATCTGCACTCATTAGAGCTCAATGGACTGGCATGCGGCACAACTGTGCAGCCTAACAGGGTGTGTTATTCCCCAATCTAACTATATATGGTCTGCATC